TGAATCGTCCAACTATTCGCGACCCGCGTCCAACCACAGCCAGTACCGCGCCGACGAGAGCCTGCAGGATCTACAAGACTGTGGCGGATCGCCAGGTCACCCGGGCCCTCAACTTGACAACGTTGTTAGAGTTGAAAACTCCGCCGTCGTCAACCCGCCTCCTCGGTCACCTTTGGAGCCAGAGGATGCGCATGAGTGGCCTGGGATGCCTGATATGGCCGTGAGTCATGAGGGATCTGGGTCGGACACCTGCGCTCCAACAGTTTACGAGTGACTACTCTCTGTTTGGACTACCCAATTACGGCACCGCATAGCACCCATTGCTTTCAGGTACGCGACGAAATAACGTAAACCTTAACCAACCACCCAGTAATCTCTCTGGACGTCTAGCGCAGCGTATGCCAGTCCGCCCCTATTTGGACGTTTCGGGCATCCTGGGCGTTTTGGGCGGGACCTGGCTGGGACCTGAGACGGCCGTTTGACTTCAACTCCATCCAGCTCACCCTGTCGCCTTCCTCGCTCTTCCTTCAGTACTGCGAACGCACCAACGACAGCCCAGAGGAAAGTTGATTCACTGTCACCTCGATTTCGGTCACCCTAGTCGTCCTGACCACTCGCCTGTCCCTCCCCCGCCCCTTCCTCATGCCCATGCGTCCCTCGCGTCCTTGCCCCCATATCCGTCCGAACCCCTCGCCCCGACTTCACCCCTCGACCCGACTTCTCCGCGCGCCGCGGAGAACCCGTCTCGTCTCCACCGTCTCCGCCGTCTCCGCCTCCTTTCGCTTCCTCGCCTATTACGTGCAAGCATCAGCCGTTCAGCCGTGCTCCGCTGCATTTCCGGCGTCAAGTTTGCAATGTATCGAGGTACGAACTGAACGAAGAGGGGGAAGAAGGGGGAAACGCTGTCGAGCAACCCCCCTGTCTGAGTTCCAAGATCACCTCGGTGATGGTTCTGACCACCTCTGGTGGCCTCATGCTTCCTCCCCCCACCCACACGACTCCTCCTGACATTTTGGCATTATCAGTCTCCCGCGTTATTCCAATCCCTTCATGTTTCTGCATCACTTCTTTGGTTTCTCATGTGTACTTGCAATGAACATCCATGTCCGCGCCTATGTGCAACCGCCCAGACCCATCTATGATGATCGATGGACTACACACTGACCGACCACGCTCACGATCAAGTTCCAAGGCTGAAAACCTAAAAGTGCCCGCCTTCCTATTCAACGGCTTACGAGACCGCCCTCCTGCCGCGCCCTGGCCCCATAGGCAGTGGGGCAGTGTTCAGGTGGGTGGGACGGTGAGGTGGCTCTGAGTAACATACCCTCAGCCCTTGGGTGCAGTGGTGCCTCCCACTACCCCTTAAGCGTTCAAAGACCGAGAACCTGCTGTGAGCCTATGAGCGCCGGTGGCTACGACGGGGCTCCCAGGATGGGCGGGCTGTGGACCAATGGGCGGACAGGTCATATCAGCCCCCTTCACCGCTTCCATGTGATTGAGCACCGGCGCCAACAGGGTATTGGTGATCTCGGCAACGGAACAGTCGATCTCGGAACGGCGGCGCCGTTGCAATGCCGATCGCATCGCCGAGCGGCCCCACCTCGATCGCCGATGTGCAGATGAGACAACGTCACTGCCGAGCTGCCGTGAGTACAAACCTGTATCTGGCGCGTGAAGCGTCATGGAGCGCAGGTAAGTGCGGACCAGCCGAGGAAGCGCAGTTTACAGGGAACCGCCAGGGTTTCAAAGGTGAACGGAGTAATGATATCAGAACCCACTATTGATTCCATTCGAGCATCAAGGTTTATTGGAATCGGCCCCCGCCGACGGAAAGGCGACATGTTCTCCTCTTCTCAAAGATAACCTCTCCCTGCCTCGGGTGAGGTTTTTCTCGAGCGTTTTTCTCGAGCCAAGCTGCTGAGCGAGTTTGCCAAAGATCGGGAGATCTACCGCCAATCCACGCAATCACATGAGCCATCGGGGCCGACCTCTGGGCGTCCACATCACTGAGAACTCCATCGGTATACAAGCACATACACGTCACCTGGCATGAGGGGCACGCGGGTCCCTCGTAACACAGCCCGGCCCTGGCCAAATTGAGGTAGGAAATAGTAGGCAACCTGGCATCGTTAGAATCTGATCGCCCTTGAGAACTGACGTGGCCCACATGGTACTTGTCTCAACAAAGGCTCAGAAGCACCACCATCATTAAGTCTGAATCCTACTTTTCGTTTTCAGAGATTCCGATGTGCGAATTGACATGAAGTTGTAAGCTTACTGTCGTCCCAGCGCACTCCAGCCGACAACCCGAGAAATGAATCCGAAACCCCAAGAAACATTCGTCTGCATCTGGACCTCACCGTATTCCTGGCCTGACCTGTAGGGGCCCTGCATTCCCTGTGGTCACTCAGGACAATGCATCTGCATCCTGGGGCGCATGCAACGAGGTCGATGATTTCTTGCCTTTGCTTCGCCTGCCTAGCAAACACGTTGTTAGTATTCTGGTCTTGCAATCTGCCATGTTTCCAGACTTAGGTCATGCACAACGCGTGTCCCTTTCAGTGTTGGTGAGCGCTTTCTTAGGTAGGCTCCTTGTTGTAAATGCTCCTCGCCATAGTCCTAGTCTGACCAGCCTTCAGACGGAAGTTGAGTTTGTCATCCGATGGCAGATATCCGGGCACTATCCAGTCAACTTGTGGCAGTCGGGAGAGAGAAAAGTCCAGGTGAATGTACAGGCTGCTGCGACGGATGGGTCCCTCCGATTCGGCTCATCATATGACAAACCAGGGCGGATGGGTGCCATATCGAGTTCGGTCATGGCCTATCCAGCCGGACCGATCACCGAGGCTGTTACGGGTTATTGAATGATGACTTCTCGTGATTGCGACCCTCACCCCTTTCCAGACTCGATTGCGCTATCGACCCTCAAGAGCTTCATGTTCCGACGGCGCACGCGAGTAATGTGCGCACACCTGGTCCAGCCCAGCCGGCTGGAGATTTACACCTTAGCAATCACAACTCCAGATTGCTCTTTACCTGGAATCTGGACAGTAAGAAGTACCCACCTGGCCAGTACACAAGCTTCGGGATCGAGTGGCACTTTCTGGACCGACGATTGCAGGGATGATCCTCAATCGAGGATTTGACTTTCTATCAGACGCTCATCGCCCTGTTGTCGGATTGGCCCGCCCACTTCTCCGTAATGTTTGCCGTCATCTGAGGTCCCATAGGTCCCGAGGTTTGGAGCGGCTCCAGGCGGCAGCGGCAATACAAACGCAGGGCGGGGTTCGGCCCGACGATACGTATTAACGCACACCGACACCAGTAGATCGGCTGTGTGGCAGAGTTAAATGGCCTGTCTGGAATTCAGCCCTGTCATAAACCCCTTCCTAACCCTCACTGACCACGTTCCCCTCCTGTGAACACTCTGCGACCCAGCCGCTTGGCGGTCGCCCCATCGAGCCCTCATCTGTCCCTCACTGCACGTCCGGTTCCACAGATTGCTTCCCCAAGACGTGACACCCTGGCGTCCATGCACACGACTTGTGTGTGGAGATCTACGTATGACTGAAGGATGGTCTGCTTTATGGATGTGGCCAAGGCAGGTTCTGCCGAGAGCTTATGGTATCGACCAAGACAGCTACGCTTGTACACTTAGTGGTCTGGCGTGTGCAGGCGTGCAATCCCCTGTCACGATTCGGGCTTTGACGTTTGTCGTCTGTTGAATGTGTGGTTCCCAGTCTGTCGGTCAGTCGGATGTATTGCATGCGCCCTCTCCTGTGCCTCTCCTGGCCCTGTCTTGCCCTTGAACTCACCCGCGTGAGCTGCGTGATCCTTGCGTGCTCTGCGCTCCGCACCTGATGCAGACCCTGGGCGTCGCCCGCTTGACCGGACCGACCACTGTAACCGCGGACGCTCGCTTGGAGGATGTACTACTATGCATACACACTGCGCGCAGTTCCAGCTCATCGGCGTAGCCGGCCTCTCGCATGGTTCCGGGGACCAACCGCGGTCTGGTACAACCTTCGTGCAGTCGTTCCTGAACTTGCGAGTCATCACCGAACCGATGTTACGACTCTCCCTCGACTGTGACACACATGTCCTAGTGGTGTCCTGGTGGACTCAGTGCGCTCCTACCTTGAGTCGGCGCCAGTACTTCACGTCGTCTCCTGCTCCTGCGGTGCGTTTATCCAATGTCATAGCTTGCGCCTGTGCTAGGACTGTCGTCGGTGCTCGACCAGCAATGTGGCGTTGCCTCGGAAACCCCTCCTGCGCTTGCGTTTACTTGACGTAACTTTGCACGCCGCTGAATCATGTGCAAAGTCAATTGGTACCCTGGAAAATCAGAGGCAGGACATCAATGGCTACCGTAAGGACCTGTCGGTCGCGAGGTTTAAGCCTCAGCTGTGATACGTCACGGCCGACCGGCTTGTGACCGTGTGAGTGCCGAAAGCGTGGCTAGGCCGTCGCCTTCCGTATGTGATCACAAGTGCCGTCCTCGGCGGCGCACAAGGGAAGGTTCTCGTCTTTCCGACTTCCGAAGCCGGTTTCAGTGCACACGCTCTTGCGTCTCGCTGGAGTAAGGGTCGAAGGGTCGTAGTACCGTACGGAGTTGCGATGACGGCCATGATTGAGAGAGCTGTCCTAATCACGATGGGACCGAGCTGCAACTCTGGAGCAAGAAGAGAAAAACAGCGCTCATAGGCACAGAGATACATACCATGCAGGTGAGGTGCAAGCTAATGTAGTGATACTACGTCGATCCTAGAAGAAACACAGGACAAATACGTGATTCGTAATGGAGACCTGGACAAGCGCCTAGGTAACCACTGTCTAACCAGAGATCCTCGACCATTTGATGCTTTGAGGACGTTTGGACATCGGATTTGGAACTTCTGACCGTGATACTATTATACAATTGTTGTATGATTGCGACCCTAGAAACGTGGGTCAGGGGCGACAAGAAGCGCGTTCGGGTAAGCGGCGGAACTGACCAAAGGTTACGACGACAAGGCCGTAGGCGTCGGGGCGAGCGTCGGGGCGAGCGTCGGAGCGACCTGCGCCTTCGGTGATCCGGACCTAAGGAGTGTGGGAGGGAAACCGAGACTGAGAGGGGTCTCGGGAGTTGGGGTCTGTAGTTGAGCCGATGGAGCGGCTATGAACGTCTGCACACTGAGGGGCGTTGTGTGAGCTGCTATCTACGGTGAGCCAAGGGGGAAGGAGACTCGAGCGGGGTGACACTTACAAGTGATCGATTAACGAAGGCTCAGCCAGGTATGGCGTCCATCCTTGTCGAAAGACGTCCATGTACTGCCCTCCACCGGCGGAACTTGCTCCGCGCCCCCCATCCTCATCGGTACCGAGATCTTGCTGATAGGCCGGAAGAGCGGGATTGTGCATCCCAGCAGTCTGATACCCGCAGTCGGAAAGGACGTTTGCGGTGCCTCGGGAACCTTGCAGAGAATGGTGCATGTGCCCCATGCCACCGATTCCCATGTCCATCACTCCCGAGTGGCCTGAAAGGCTGTGATGATGGCTGACGCCCGTATGGCTCGGTTGCATGAAACGATGCGACGCCGTGCTGTGCTCCTGGATTGGAGAACTCGACAAGGGCGTTGATGAGATCATGCTGGGTCCCAGGGCCGGGCTCATACCGGCTCCGGCGGCTCCGTCGAAGGAAAACCTCGGATTGATTGGACCGGGGGCAGGCGAGTACTGCTGCGGTGAAAAGGCGCTGCCACCACCCACTCCAGTCCCCCCACCACCACCTCCTGCAACGTTGGAATCAACTGTCGACCATGACATACTTCGTGGTACGCTGTGACCCCCCGCGCCCGCTGCGCCGGCGGACAAAGGGTGCTGGTGTGGGGACGAGTGGACTGGGAATGTAGCGGAGTTGGGAGCCGAAATGGACACGCCGAGAGCTTGCTGTCCGTCACTGAGGCGAGCAAGGGCGTCTTGCAGTTCCGCTGTTGGAAGGCTGTCAGCGATCGCATGTGCCGCTTCGAGGCCGTGCGTCACTCACCTATACGGCCTTCCAACTTGAGGACAGTGTTCCGCGGATGATCAGGATCGACGTGTAGGGAAGGTTGCGACGCCCCCTCGACGCCACCACCGCCCACCGGTTCATTGTCTGTACTTTCCTCGTAGACACACTGGACGCCACGAGCCTCGCGTTCGGGATCAGGTTGCGTTCTCGCCAGGAATCGAAACGAGCGGATGCAAGAGGAGCAGTGTGGCTTGGCAGCGTCACACTTTATCCTGCGCCTCCTGCACGGCAAGCATGCTTGATTGCGATGCAGCTGGTTCGCGGACCTGTTGAGTTTTCTTGGTGGTTTCGGAGGTCGGTCCGAAGAGGTGTTGTTGGGTGACACGGAGTTGGCGGTTCTGGGTCGGCTGGCCGAGGACGTCGATCCTACAGCCGAGGAAGAGCTTGCCGGTCGGGCTTGGTAAGGGTGATGGTGTTGAGATTGTTGGCTATGACGGGTCTGGTCAGGACCGACCGGGTTATGGGAGTGAGGCTGCATGATGTACGTCGTGACCAGTGGTGGAGGTGTTGCCGGTGTCACCGACCCCACTGTTGGCGCCAGCGAAGTTGGGAGTTTGTGAAGACAAAGAGTACGAATGGAACAACGTGAGGTCGACCAAGGCCAAAGTCGCTTTTGGCTGTGGGCACTTGGTCGTGTTGCCTCGCTTCGCCAATGGACAGGCTCGGTGACGAATATTTCCGCCACGCGATGAGGTGAGAGTAGGGTGAAAGTAGCTGGGCTGTTTGGTCCGTAGCCAAGACCGAAATGGGTAAGGTAGAAGGGAGGAAGGGATCGAGAGTATGAGGAGTTGAAGGTTTAAGAGTGATTGGCGGTTGAGGCAGGCTGGTGGCAGGAAAAGGAAGGGGAGATAAAGGTGTCGTCGCTTTCCATCGGTTGACTCTTGTACACAACACCGAGGTACTTTTAAGGATCCCTTGTTCTGGAAACCCTCTGGGCTCACAGGGCAACGGATCCAAACGAAGCGATCTTCGTCCGTGAGTTGCCGAGGAGATTTGCGGTGATGCAGACTAAGGGGTGGTATGTAGTGTGTGTACCATATGTATGCAAAGTCAATCGAAGCGCGCGTGTCGGATGGCCGTCGATGAGTGAAAGGGCGGCGGCGGTCGAGACGGCACCGGCGGTTGTATGATGAGAGTTCGACTCCGGACGGCACGGGGCCACAGCAACGGGGAGCTGGAGGTGTACTGCTTAAAGGATGTCGTTTGCCGATTAAGAATATGCCACCTCGTGAAACCAGTGGTGTTCGAGGCTTCAAGGCTTGAGAGGCAGGGGTGAGGCGGATTTGCTGGGCTTCGGGACAAAGGAGAGAGCGTAGGATAGGCAAAAGCGTGACTGACCTGAGCTAGGAGCTAGTGTTCTGGCTGTCGGCTTTGCGTGCGCTGCGTGCGTGTGTTGTGTGTCATAGAAAGACGGACCGTCACAAGAGTCGGAAGAACTCAACCAGGTCTTATTTTGAATGATTGGGTAATGTCATCACTCTCCCAGCTCCCCACCTTTCGTGCCTTCCCACCTGATATCAGGCCCTCGTCCCTCAGTCCCCACTAAAGTTTAGAGAGTCAGGGTCCTACTTCAGGCAATGCACTCATCAGCCCTCCCACACAGGGTCAGGTAGCCCAGGCAATGCAGGTCGACAGGGGAGGAGCAGCAGGGGTAGCGGGGCACGCAGGAGAGAAGCCCTGCAGAGCCCAGGACATGGAGAAAGAGCACGAGGGGCCAGGAAACGGCCCAGGCGGCCTTCACGTAGACCTTGCTGGCTGGTATTTTCGAGTCCTCGGGCGCCTCGGCCTGCAGACCATCCATGCCCTCCCCACCTACGCTGCCGCGCTACGGTCATGCCCTCACACGCACAATACCCATAAACCCAGGGCCGGTCCTCAGGGTCAAGATGACGAGGCTGGCTCGGAAGGTCGTCCGCCGAAGTCCCTTGCCAGGAGTTTTTGCGGACCGAAGTAACATTGAAACGGCCGGGCGCGCCAGCCCAGAGCAGATTCAAGTCCCCGGTGACAACTCCGCCGCCGGCTCTAGACCCCAGCACACAATCAGGAGCAGAGGTTTGTCAACCATCAGAAGCAGACTTCGCCGGCAGACCGGCGTACTCACGCGCAGGGCTAACGGCTGGAAACCGGAGTACGCCATGCAGGCGGCACACCTGAGCGCAGGAGATCGAAAATAAGGCACGAGCATTAGGATGAAGATTAAGTGCAGGGCTTCAACCGGCGAGGACAGATGTTCAAACACCATGTAGCCTATGGCCCAGCCGATGCGACAATTCGTTTAGTCCAATCAGTGCATGCACGCCAGTGAATAGCTGAGGACAAAACACCAGAGCTTAGAGCTTGGAATGCACCTGCTGCAACCAGGTGCTCTTGCTCACGAAAAGCTAATCAACACTCAAATCCCCTGGGGTACCTCGGTGTGCATCGTTGTCCAATTTCTGTCCGGACCGACTGCTCCATAATGATTGCGGTTGCGATTGTGATCCGGCCCTACGAACTCCATCCGCAGCTTTCTGACCTAATTCCCCTTCGATACCTAATGGGTCAACTGTCAGTTGCCCGGACGCCCAAAACTCCGTATTGGATCGTCGACAACGTGAGCGGGCTGGCCAAACAATGAGATCCTCCCCCACAAGCCGTTCACCGGTGTTTCAATATCTCGCTGTTGTGCCCCTCCCGAAGTCCTAATGCACACCGTGATACCTCAATGCTAGGGGCCAGGGTCGGGAGGAAGATGCACTGCCTCGCTTGTCACAATCATGGCCCGTACATCCGTGAGGTCCCATTTAACGGCCTGGGCTGTGGGCAATGATTTGGCTTGAAGCACGAGGGTGGACGCGAGCACGGGCTCCGTACATGTTGTGTTCTTCTACGACAGGACATCCCGTCATCGCTAGGTCACCCATGCATCCTCATTGGCTTCTGTCTTTTCCGAGTTTGTCTGTCGGGCAACGGGGACCAAGACTCGAAGCGAAGGTTGCGACCCATTGGACCCAGAATGAGGGCTTCCAGGACTCCGGCGCTGGGGGAGTAGCGAGCAGGACAGCTGGAGCGCCTGCATGTGGCCTCAGGCAGGAATCAGGTCTACCTTGCCAGCTCAAGAACCTGGCAACCCAGGTCGAAACATGAGGCGGTGCACAGGCAAGCCTTATTAATCCATTTACCCTTGACACATCCTACGGCCCGCCCAAGGCAGAGGATTCGACCGAATGTCTTCTAGCGACCCTGCACCATGCGACTCGATGGACCAAAACACGGGATTGGCGTGGCGGAGTGGCAGGCTTTCACCTCAGGCTCTCACTAATTCAGGCAGATCACGCAGCTGACGAGCTCAGGTAAGACATTGCGTGTGCTCCGCAGCTTGCGAAGAGATCAACGAGGATCCAAAACGTTTCGCCGGCTGCCGGCTGAGCCACCGCCTAGAAGCAGCATATGTTCGATCGCTTGTGCGGGCAGGGAACCTCGCGGAATATCAGGGCGGGATGACTATGTCCCGATATCACCATATCACGGCTAGGTCCCACTGTGTGTCGACTGTGTATCGCTCTGTTGCAAGCAAGTTGGCATCATCACCATCGTCATCCGTGCAGCTCTACGGTCTCTGGCAGTAACGTGCAACGCGAGAACCAGAGAAGGTTTCCTTTGGCGTCGCATGCAACGTCCTTTCGGACCTCTCTGTTGGTCGCACCGTACCTGATGCAAGTGTGGTGCACCGTATGCTCACAGCAACGAGCGAGGCCCAAGTGGCCCGACATCCAGCGTTGATTCCCAGACGTCGACTCCCTACAGCGGCAGCCCTGGACGATTCTCTGATAGAGGTCGTCCCTTCAATTGAGCAATTTGTCCAGGGCAGGTCGACCCAAACCTCGAAAGGGTATCTGGGCTGCTCCTGAGGTCCGACAGCGCTCGCCATTCCTACCTCCAGAACCTTGAAGCTCAAGCATCAGGATTCACTGCAGATTGTTCTAGGTCAGTCATACTCATGCAAGGGAGTGTCCATGACGTGACCTTGTATTGCATGGTGCCGGCAACGATTGATGCTTATTTCCCAAAGGGCTGGCTCGTCCCTGCTGAGGCGGCCTACAACAGGCACGTCACGAACCAGCAGTACCTATATAGACTGCTGCCCAGGGTGGAGAGCCATGTGGGGCCTGACCACGCAGAACGCAGCCCAAACCTAACGGCTGCAAGGCTGCCAGCTAGTCGCAGTGTGAAAGACAGCGTTCGAATTTCTCCAGTGCCGATCCCGGCTTGCTTCAAATCAATGACGCCAGCTTATGGAGCGATAAGCGTACGCATCACTGTTGCGAGGGGTGCACCATTCTGACCACCCCCGTCTCACTCGTATTCATCATCCCTCTGGCCGTTCGCATCAAGAGGAGCCGCCGACCCACTATAATGTCTGGATGTAGAGACCGCGAATTCCTGGCGAGCCCCGTCCCTTTGCCGGATTTGCGGTCCGTTGGCCGGGCAACGGGCCACGACTGGGCTGTTTAAACCCCAAGTCAGGGAAGACTACAGTCGCCCGTTGACCGTTGTCGGTCTGCGCGAGACCTGCGCGAGACCAACAGGACCAGCGAGGCTGACTTTTCCAGGAAAAACCTCGCTATTTTGGTAAGGAAAAGGCCCGAAGGCCGAAACGGAAGGGCGCCATGTCTATTTTGTCGCAGAAGCGGCATGGAGCACGCAGGGTTGCGTACAGGGAGCAGGATAGATTGACGTGTCCGACGTCTGGCCGACCTGGCGCTAGAGAGATGCCGAGACAGTGCTGAGCTGCCGGCGAGTCCGGCGAGCCCGGCGAGTGGGTTTGGTGCCGTGGGACCGCCAGGCATAACAGTTCCAGCGACGAGGATGGGCAGAGTGCGATTGGCGTATAGTGCGGCCGGCCTGGCGCGCACTCTAGGCGATGGCATTGGGAACCTCGTGATCTACTGGATCCCTTGATGTCTTACCATTGCATTCACGGTAAAGGAGACGAGAGTTGCGCTTTGGCAGCTATAGACAGCGCTACCACAAGGCGGAATGCACAGTTATGGCGTCAGCACCGCCTTTACAGTAGGGCACAGAATGTGGCATCGGCCCACTAGCAACGCCCGCGGAAGGCACAATACCTATGCGGCGCAAAGCCGCAAAGAGAGTCCCATGTAGACTACCGGCCAACCGGCCGTTCTATCACTGCTGGCGCTAGAGCCCGGTAAACGTTTCGGAAGTCTGTGATGCTGATCCGCGGTACAGCTGAGGTCCTCACGCACAGATGCGGAGATTCCTAGACCCCGTCCTCGGTCGCCGGCTAATACACCACCGCGGCGGCGCTACTAAGACGCCGCACTGGAGGAACGGGCTATGAGACATCATACCAATGGTCCGGTGCGTACCGCGTAGCTGAAAAGCACCACCGCTTGTTGTATGCTGAGGGGGGGTGTTGTCGTCAGGATCGCCGTTCCCATTGAGACTGCTACCACCTGACCTCCCTACTCTGAG